GTTTCAATACCTTACTGTGTTGCTGACATAAATACCTGAGTCTGGGTGATTTATAAAGAAATTTGTGTTTATTGACTCACAGTTCTGGCAGCTGGAAAGTCTGAAGGCATAGCCCTGGCATTAGGCTGGCTTATAGCATGGCTGACAGAATCACAGAGAACGGTATGCACACGTGGGTAGCTCGCTCTCTCTTATAGCAATGGGCTCTTGAGAGAACTAATCCCCTCCCATGAGAGCTAGATCTCAACTGGATCTCACAAGACATCATTAATCTGCTCGCAGGCGTATTGCCTCCATGATGTAATCATCGTGATCCAGTCACTTCCGTAGGCCTCACCACTTTCCACTACCAAATTCCTAAACATGAAACCTTGGGGAGCAAACCAGTATCTAAACCACTAGAAGGTAGCATAGGGAGCCAAGCCACTCATTTGCTTTAGCTAAGACCAGAAACTTGAGCTTTCCAGCCATATTATATTCTTTGAATATTATCAGTCATTTTCTGCATGTCTTTATTTGTTGTCACAGAAGAGTTAAATTGACTTTTCTAAACAGAAAATAAATTGTTGTGTGGCAACAATAAGCAAAGCAATAAAGAAAAAATACAGAAAAGAATCGAGGAAGTCAGTAGAATGATCATAGGATTCACTAGGATATATAAGTTTTGTTGTAATTTATAAATTGCAACTTTTGAATTGGCTAAGTAAACCATGATGTAGCCATAAAACCACAAAATTAATGTGTGCAGCTACATAAGATGGCAGTTTATCAACCTGGAAAAATGTCCAGAACTTACTATTGGGTCGTCAGAAAAGTCATGATGTATTTTTCTATACAAAAATGCATCATGACTTTCCTGACAATGCAATATTATAAAAAGATATATGGAACAAAAATACTGGTATTTTATGATTCTATTTATGTGTATAATTTTTTTAAAGAATTATTTCTTTAACTTTATTTATTTATTTGTTTATTTAATTATTTTAATTTGACCAGAGAGGGACAGAGCAAGTGAGTGAGAGAGAGAGAGAGAGAGAGAGAGAGAGAAAGAGGGAAAGTGAGAAAGCAAGCTGCCAGGTATAGGACTTGAACCATGGTCCGCCATTTGGGAGTCCAGCACCCTTAACCACCATGCTACCTGTTGGTCCTATGTGTATAATTTTAGATAGAACACATATATATAATATTCAAAAAGAGATATTTGGAAAGGTAATCATCAAAGTGTTATTTTGGAGTGGTGAGATTTCAGTTGATTACTTTCTTCTTTGTACCTATCTGAAATTTGTATTCTTACACAATAAAGTTTTATATAAGCAGTATTTTTTAAAAAAAATATCTTTTATGATAATGGATTTATTAACAAGAAGTTCTCTGTTTGAGACACCATTAATGTCTCAGGATACATATAAATTTATAAAGGGTAGTATATTATAAAGCTTTATTTTCAACTTTATGATCTAAAATTTTTAACACTGTCCATAATCCTTTTATATGAGGGAAATTATTTTTTAAAATATTGGTAGTGTATCTTATGGTAGGATGCTTTTCAAAAACAAATAGGGAGATGGATGAATTTTATAAAGAAAGGCCTTTCAAAGCATAGGCTTCTTTTCCTGTTTGCCCTTTAGGGCTTGTAAATAGCCCACAAAATATCATAAGTCTTAACTAAAAATTAACTTATATATGAAGATTATATTTGAAGGATACACTATTAGATGAATATCTTCTATTTTGCCATTAGTTTTTAAAATCACAATATAAAAGACTGTTTTGTGTCCATAATATATTGTTAAAAAAAAAAGAATCAAGTACAATACCATACACTGGTGCATAATTCTAAATTTATATTTCATAAATTACATATATATACAAAAAAGTCTGGAGGGATATATACAAAAAAGTATAGTGGTTGTCTCTGGTACCATTATGTATTATGTTTCTTTTTTTATTATGAAAGACATTATATACTAAGGAAATTATTTTATTAATACTTTATGAACAAGTGCTTTGTATAAAGTAAATATTTACCAGACATCCATGAAAAGAAGAGAATGGAATGGGAAGGAATAGACCAGAATTCTACATGGGTTAGAATCGAACCACCTAGATCCTTTACTCAAGTTCTACTATTGTACTGTTCCATGGCCTTAGCCTAATAGTTAATTTTATTTCAGCTACTCTATTTAAAATGATAAATACTTTTTTGTGTCTAAGAGATCTTTATGACAGGTATTGTTTCACTAGGTCACAACCTGTGAAATTGGAACTTATATTTTACCACTCCCTGGCATCTCTAAAGAAACAGAATATTGGAGCAAAGTTCCTGAAGAATACAGGCAGTTTAATTTTTATGATCTGCTTAACAACAAACTAGAATTTGAACATTTCCGTCAGTTTCTTGAGGCTCATGCTGGAAGGTGAGGAATGTGAATGTTTTTAAATGTATTTCTCACTTAAAATATTTTTTTTTCTAAGCTACTGGTTTTGATTCAGCATATTATAATAGTAATTTTATGTTGGATTTTACCCATGTTGATAAAAACTGATGAGTGTAATTATCTAAAATCTGTATGGATAGCTTTTTGGTAGAGTACATTTTGATGATAGCAAACTCCAAAATGTTATTGTAAGTGGTTGCACAATATTTGTTGATACCTTTAATGCGGCTAACTTTAAACATCAGTGTATTTTATTTTTTCCCCTTTTTCGCTGTACTTTTTGTATTTCTCTAGGCAACTCCTTTATTGTTCCTGGGAAGTGTCTCTTTTATACTTCACTAAGCTATTGAAATTATTATATTTCACAATTTTTATCAACTAATAAATAAGCAAGTTTGCACAGAATCTTGGAATCTTATAGCATATTTGTTTAATATGAACTGAGATGTTAACCATATTTTTTTCTATTAACTTTCTCCCAAGTTAGCAGAAACTCATTAGACCTAGGACTCAAATATCACATTATATAGTTTCCCCCCATTGAGATAGGAATTATTCTAGATGTGGTGTGTTGTAAAATGGACATGCCACATGGGGAAATTTTTCCATATTTGAAATTAATCATTCTAGTTCATCATTAATGGAGGACTCTGAGACCAGGCTCTGCCAATAATGGTGATAGTTTGTTTGTTTTTTCTTTCTTTCTTTCTTTCTTTTTTTTCTGATTCCAGTACTCCTTGTTATGATCCACATATTTAACCAGGACTAGAAGTATTACAGAGTCAGCCTAACTGGCCTAGATGATGATGTCATGTATAGTATTCTCAACTTACCTGGTGTGTGGCATATATCATGTTGGGTACAATCTCTTTACAATCTAAATGATGTATAGCAATTCAATGTATGAATAGTAAATAACAGCACAAAAAATTGTAAAAGAAAGGAATCAACATAGGAGCAGACCGGTGTGTCCTTGGACTTACACAGCGGGTCGTCTGGCTTCTGAGTGGTTACTCTGTATTCCCAAGTGGCAAAAGAAAGAATTAAAAATGGATGATGTTGAGAAAGGCAAGAAGATTTTTGTTCAGAAGTGTGCCCAGTGCCACATCGTGGAAAAGGGAGGCAAGCACAAGACTGGCCCAAATCTCCATAGTCTATTTGGGTGGAAGACAGGTCAGGCCCCTGGATTCTCTTACACGGATACCAACAAGAACAAAGGCATTACCTGGGGAGAAGATACACTGATGTAGGATTTGGAGAATCTTAAGAAGGACATCCCTGGAACGAAAATGATCTTCACTGGCATTAAAAAGAAGTCTGAGGACCAGCAGTTAGCATAATGGCTATGTCGTTGACCTCCCATGTAGTCGATCACAGTGCAAGTCCTGGACCCGGTGGCTTAAACTCACGCCGGGCGTATGTGCATGCGTGCCCAAGATCCTGAGAGGAGAATGGAGGAGAAGGGATTGCGACATGGCCATCCCCCCTGGGGGATGATTTCTCGCTTTCTGTCTCTCTGTCTTTCTCTGTCTGGCGAGCGCAGTGCCCTACAGCAAAAACCTCTCCAAAAAAAAAAAAAAAAAAGAAGTCTGAAAGAGCAGAGTTGGTAGCTTATCTTTAAAAAGCTACTAATGAGTAATAGGTGGCCACTGCCTTACTTATCTCACCTTTTTTATGTGTACCATGTTTTAATTGATCTCCTACACCAGAACTCAGATCATGAATGGCTGACAGGATATTTTTGTTGGGCAATCCTGATTTAAGTAAGACTAGCTTGTGGTTAAATTAATATTTTTTTTAAAAAATTTTGATAGTAATTTCAGTTCCGTAAGTGCTATCACTAATTGCCTTTTCTAAAGCTATAATTGGTAATTCATTAGTGATGTTTATCTTTCTACAAACATGGTAAATGCCATCTCAAAGCCTACTGGAGACTGGTTTTATTTAGGCTTATATGTAACTGGTTATATGAATATATAAATGCTGGCGAAATCCCTTCACTTCTCAAAAGTTAAAAAAAAATAAGGAAGGAATCAGAGACACGATATTGGACTTTGGTGATCAAATCAGTTGTGCTAACTAGTCAAGACAGTCACTATCCAAATTCTGTCAAAACAAGTTGTTTGATGCACAGTAGAATTTAGAGAAATAAATAATAAGGGTTATACTTTATTTTCATTCCAGCATGGACCTTATGTGCTGGACAGACATTGAGGAGTTCCGAAGGATAGCATACAGAGATCGAATTCAAAGGGAGGCAAAATCTATATACATTAAAAACAAATACCTTAATAAGAAATATTTCTTTGGACCCAACAGTCCAGCTTCTATCCATCAACAGGACCAGGTATCAATATGTAAACCTCTTTTTGTGTAACAAAGCATGAAAAACAGTAATTTATTTCTTTTGCCAACCTGAAAGTCTCACTTTTTCCTATCTTTTGTTTTTATGACTGATGCATTAGATACTTTTAGTATCTTAGTTATTTAGGTAGTCATAAGTATCTATAAATGAAATGTCTTTAAAATTTATCCTAGTATTACATTAAATATGTGTTACTTTACAAAGTAATTTATAGGATAAAAATAACTTCTTTTCATCCAGTCATTCATTCTCTCAACAAACAGGAATGTTTACAATATGCAAAACACTGTTCTAGTAGGATAAAGTGATGAACGAGATGGAGAAGATATCTGCACTTTTTTTTTTTTTAAGAGAGAGATTTTTTACTGTAGGGTACATGCACTCACCAGAGAGACAGACAAAAAGCGAAAAATCACCCTTCAAGGGGTGATTAGTCCCTTCTCCATTCTCCACTTGGAATTTTGGGCATGCACACATGCCCAGTGTGAGTTTCAAGCTGCCAGTCCCGGACTCGAACCGCAGTTAACCACATAGGAATCCAGCATCTTAACCACTACACCACCTGCTGGTCCTGGTATCTGCACCTTTCAACAAATAGGAAAACAGACATTATCAACCATTTAGCCTAATCTCTACCTCTTCTCTGTTCTTCTCTGATAATACTCTAATAAATTATTCTTCTATTTTTAAGTTTACTTAAGGCTTCCATAAGTAAGAGAGGCAAAGACAGAGGGACAGGCACTCCCAGCTTCAGCCAGGCCCAGATCATCGGCTCATACATGCCCGGTGTTTCTAGGAAGGTCCTTGGACATGAACACAGATACTTTTCCTTGCAGAGCATGGTGTTACTAATGTACCATTAGGCCCTGCATAATCCATCTTTGAAAATCACGATTATACTTTATTGTTCCCAGAAACTATTTTCATTGACCAGGAATATTTTGTTTGGTCAAAGTCCTATAGCCTTAATCACAATTTATTAGTAATTATAGTGTCATTAGATTTATAGCAGAAATAGCTGATTGAGAATCAGCAGTGGCTTGGAGTGAAGTACAGTTTAATTTTTATGCTTTGAGATATAAAGAATTACGTAATATAACTTAATTAGTTTGAAGTTTGGTAGTACAATATTACTAGCTAAAGATCAAATGGATATCTTGTGATGTTCAATGTGATCGCTGACAAGGATGCATAAAGTAATAGCATACATTTATAAAATATAGATTTCAGATTAATGGTGGACTCCGTAAATTGAAGAATAATTGAGAGATGGTCATAAGTAGGGCATACCAAATTAAAATCTAGATCTTTGGGGCAAAGTAAGCAAAAAATCTTTGGAAGTAAAGGGAGGATGAAATTCTAAAATTAAGTAACTTTAACCCAAATGCCTTGCCATTAGTTCCCTGAGATACAAATCTGGGCTACATTAGCAAATGTGGTTGCTATCTCAATAAGCACAAGTATGAAATAAACACATGGAAAGCATTTGTTTTCTGTTTGGCTTGTGCTACATTGCGTGAGGTTTCATGGTATCTGATGCTACTGTGTGAACCCTCCATAGTACATACAACATGCTGAGAACTTCAGTCACTGAAAAAAGTTACCCATTGCAATCATATCAAATGATTGTGCTTTCTACAGGGGCGTCTTCCTAATAACCCCTCTTTGTCATTATTGTGTACGTTAGATTGACATACTAAGTCTTATTAAGATAATGCTAATCCTAACTTCAGTTGTATAGCCAATTTGCATTTTGATTAGCAAGGTAGACTTTTTTTTTAATGTAAAAACAATGTTATTGTTAGCATTATTTGCTTAATATTATTAGAGGATTTCTTTCTTTTTCTTTGTTTTTACACAAGACGATATTATTAGAAGTGGTATTTTATTGGAATTATTAGTGAAAGAAGAACTAAGAGGGTGCTTGTTCCAGCAAGTAACCAGAGATTTTTTGTGGTGTGTATACAGAAGCAGGTAGAAAACCAGAAAGATTTAAAGCAGGAGATAGCCATTAGTAACTCATTGGAAGCCAACAGTTATGCAGAAGAAAGATCTGGGCTACCAAGAAATTGTATTTTACAAATGGTGTTGCTTGGGCAAGTCAGTGTTATTATTTGTAAAACTTGACCTTTCCTCTTGCTACCTGTTGCCTTTGTTTTCTTCTTTGAAGTTGCTGCAACAGCTCTACGTTATTAAGGCTACTACCATCCTGCCCTTCTATCCTCACATTCGTTAGTAATATATGAGGAGACTTTAACGGAAAAAATGGAATTAAAGTATGAGTTTATTTCGGTACAAGAAAATATTTTGAAATCCACACCTAGTTTTTTTCATAATAAGCATTTTTCATGAACTTTTTGAAGACCTCCTCTTACATATTTACAATATCTGAGTCAAGACTGTCTCTTAACTAATCAATGCCTTATTTCCTTCATCCACAAAAGAAAAAAGCTTTCTCAAGTAGATCAATTTGGTTAAAATTCACAGATTAAGGTGCCAGCAGGTGGTGCGGTAGTTGAGGCTTTGGACTCCCACATGGCTGGCCACAGTTTGAGTCCCAGACCTGGTGGCTTGCTTTCTCACTTTATCTCTCTTCTTTCATTCTCTCTCTTTCTCTGGTGAGCACATGTGCCCTATAGAAAATTAATAATGGATATAAAATTAAATAATGATTCGTTTTAAAAAATTCACAGATTCATAGAATATTAGATCTAGAAGTAAACTTAGAAAACAAATGTACCAATGCCCTTGTTTTACAGTTGAAGATACTGAGTCTATGGGGAAAAAATGTCATTGCTTGTGGTCACACAGGATAATAATTTCATTCCTTTTTTTTTTTTTGCTATATCATAAGCAAACAAAATCAAACATCTAAAACAATGACCATATAAATCCCCAAATCCTGATTCTCTGTTAGACATTAGAGGAGCTATTCATTATTTCCATGCATGATACAGCCAGGAAACATCATATAGAACATGAAAATTATAGCACTTGCCAGGTGTGCATCGAATGGTTTAGTGTGAATGAATGAATTAATGACTATTAGTCTTTCTTTAACAAAGCACCAACTTATAGTTTCTGTTTTGTTTATTTATTTTTTAGATAATGCATTTAAGTGGTGGCTGGGGGAAGATTCTCCATGAGCAGCTTGATGCACCTGTTCTAGTGGAAGTTCAGAAGCATGTCCTAAATAGGCTAGAGAATGTCTGGTTGCCGTTGTTTCTTGCAAGTGAACAGTTCACAGCACGTCAAAAGATAAAGGTGTATAAATCAGTATAATCTTTGGATAGCCATTGGCAATATGTATCAAAACCTTCATTGTGCTTATCTGTTGACTAGCTATTATACTTCTGTGGATTGTGGTTAAAAGCATGAGTCAGATTCCTAAGTTTTCACCTCAGTACTGCCATATATTAATTGTGCCACTTTAAGTGTTTTTTTTTTTTCTTTTTGGAGAGATTTTTGCTATAGGGTGTGTGTGCTCACTTAGAGATACAGAGACAGAGAGACAGACAGAAAGCAAGAAATCACCCCCTAGGGGGGATAGTCATGTCACAATCCCCTCTCCTCTATTCTCCTCTCTTGGGATTTGGGGCATGCATTCACATGTGCATGGCATGAGTTTTAAGCCACCAGATCTGGGACTCAAACTGTGGTTGACTATGTGGGAGTCCAGTGATGTAACCATTATGCCATCTGCTGGTCCCACCACTTTAAGTATTACAAATGTGGTTCCTTCACTTGAAAAAAATGGAGCTAATCATAGTAATTGCTACAAAGGTTGTTGTGAAAATGAAATGAAATATGTGATTAGTTTCTTAGCATGGTGTCTGGCACACAGCAGACACTTAGATGCCTATTCTTATAGTTATTATTTTTAATATTATTAAATCCCACACAAATGAGCAATTACATACAAGGAAATCAGTACCATAACTTGTTGGGGAATAGTTGAATAGTGATAATTCCATATTATGGGAAATTATGCAAATTTCCATATAAAAATCAGATTTTCACTTATACTGATTGATTGATATAAAAGAGATTGTTTATTGAATGAAACAAGCAGGATGAAGTACAATATATAGAAGATAGCCCCGTTATATGGATTTATATGTCTATATCTACCAATGCATATCAATGTCTATCTGTGTATCTAAATGTTCATCCGCCTAGCCATTTTTCCACCTATCATCTATGAGATTTTGCTTACCTATTTTATGTTTATGCTTAAGAGAAAGCTCTAAAAGGATCTGCCTCATAGGACTGTGTTTGAGAGTTAGAAGGTTTTTTACTTTTTACTTTGTAAAGTGGGTTTGTGGTTTGTTTTGTTTTGATTTATTTTATAAAAATCAAGCATTACTTTGGTCATTTAAAATGTCATAAGCATGGCTGAAAACAAGCAAACTTGATCTTCACAAAAGGGTCAGAAAACATGTAATTTTAGATTTCAGTATGCAAAATCACATGCCATTAAGACTGACCAGCAAGAACCTGGAGAGGCTTCCCTCTACATTCAGTTTATCAAACACATTGATACCTATGTACCTGGAAATATCTTTAGTCTTCTGAACTAAGCAACTTATGTTATGGAAGACACAATGTAGCTGGGAATTTTGTATGGAGAAAAGCTGGATTGTTTTAGGCAAAAAGTTCTTGGAAATAAGCTTTGAGAAAACTTCAGTAGCTTATCAAACACATTGATACCTATGTACCTGGAAATATCTTTAGTCTTCTGAACTAAGCAACTTACGTTATGGAAGACACAATGTAGCTGGGAATTTTGTATGGAGAAAAGCTGGATTGTTTTAGGCAAAAAGTTCTTGGAAATAAGCTTTGAGAAAACTTCAGTCTCCGCATTCCCTTTCTTCAGGCTAACTCCAATTTTTATCCAAATGAAAAGGTGTTCGGGTTACTATTATTATTTATCATGTTTTCTCATTTTTTCCCAGTCACTTTATTGTTATTTATAGTCACTTCCTGACTTAGCATTCTTTGGGTGGCAAGTAGAATAAATTGATCTGGCAACCTTAAGCCAAAGACAAAAAGAGGGAATGAGAATTTATTATAAAATGGTGCTGCAGCATTTCACACACTTAGGGGAGGAGCTGACACCCAAGTTTTAGGAAAGGCAGCGGGCAGGACAGCCCTGAGAACCCAACAAAATCTTGCAGATCCTTGCTCTGGACTATGGCTATCCAAAGGCTCAGTCCTTGTCTCTGCAGATCATCTCCTGGGTCTGCCTGCGGTGGCCAGGGAGGTAGTCACACAGCACAGACTTCACAGGCGCAGCTCCCAAGAAAGAGAAAACATTGTGAGTAGGCAATAACCCTAAGAAATAACTGCTCGATTTCCCTCTGTGTGGAGTAACTTTTGTACTTTTTGAAAATGAGGTACAGAGTGATAAGACTTACAATAGTTTAAAACCCGGAAAAGTCCTAATTACCTCCCCGCTTCAGTTCTGTGTGAGCAATACAGCCTAGTATCATTCTATTTTTCAGTTAAGGAAACTCCTCAAGGAATTCGAGTGACTCAGGGACCTGACTGCAGAGCTTCTTTGTTGATCCTCTTTCCTGAACTGCAGTATTTCTTATCCAAACTGACCTTGATTTTTTTTTTTCAAAAGTTTCAATAACTTCTATCTTTCACATGAGAAAGAGAAAGAGATTCCTGACAGAGTCTCATCACACCACACACCTCTCCTCCCAGCCTGCCAGAATCATGGGCACACCTATGGGCTGTGCACACACAACATGTTCAGGTCAACCAGGGACTCAAACCCAAGATTTTCCTGTATAGCTTCCGTATCCCTGAGTGGCACCGTACCACCTATGCTACTATGGCCAGGTCAACTTCATTTTTAAATACTATTAAATTTGTAAATGATTTCAAAACTCTAGACGTTATGGATAACTCGGATAAAAATCATTGTTTTTGCTTTTAGGTACAGATGAAAGACATAGCAGAAGAGCTCTTACTACAGAAGCATGAACGGAAAATCGGGGTCTGGAAGGCAAGTAATATTTGTTATGTTCTTCCTCTCATAAGTTCCACTCTGTCAAAGTTTGCATTACTTTTTCCTTTCCCTTCTTGTTCTAGACGCTACTTTTTAAACCACTGACAACCAATACTGTGTTCTTAACTGGCAGATAGAATTTGGGGGGAGTGTGATTCTACCAAAACTCTGTCCTCAAAGAGTCCTTTGACCTGCTCACCCTTACATATGTGTGATTGGCCTTTAAATATGTATTTTAAAATTCTGCTTGTTATGGATTTATTGAGACAAGCTATTCATTCCAACATATGTCAGTTTATTTTTGACTGAGAGTTGGTTCCACAAAAAGAGTGAGTAGCGTGAATGCAGTGTGAGTGAATGAGGCTCAGCTAGTTACATTATTTTACATTATCCTCATTATTTTGAGTTACATTTTAGCTTTAAAAATTAAGATAACTTGGACCAGCAGGTGGCGTAATGGCCACATCACTGGACTCCCATGTAAGTTGACTGCTGTCCGAGTCCTAGACCCGGTGGCTTAAACTCATGCCAGGCGCATGTGTGTGTGTGCCCAGGATCCTGACAGAAGAATGGAGGAGAAGGGATTGTGGAGTGGCCATCCCCCCTGGGGGGTGATTTCTCGCTCTCTTTCCGTCTCTCTCTTTCTGGCGAGCACATGTGCCCTATAGCAAAAACCTCTCCCCCTAAAAAAAATGAAGATAACTATAATTTTGATGATTATTAAAATCACTATTACATGATATCTTACTAGTAATGGGCTATTTTGCTTCTTAGCAAGCATGATAAACATAGGCTTTTCTTTGAGCCTACAGGTTTATGTGTATTTATCCTCTGCAGGCTGTGATAGACTGTCAGACTAGACCCACGTGAGCCTCTGCACACAAAGATCAAATTTTATTTGGATGTTAGAGGGGTTTATGTACCCATTAGGATGTTCTTTTCTATATTTTTTTTCCTTGAAAGGAAATTAACTTTTTAAACATTTGTGTTTTGCTATATTTTTAATTGAAATAATAAGCGGAATGGGCTTATATTTTGTATTATTATACATTAGATATTATTTTTTTTCTCTTCAGTTAAATTATAGGTTTTAGTTAAATTGCTACGTTTTAGTATCTTAAGAAGCAGGTCTTAAAACGTTATTTGTTGAGTGGGTTTTAAATAAACATCCCAGTCTAATACACGGTTGTTCCTATTTATAGGGCTATAATTTTAATATGGACCATATGGTGAGAGTCTTTCCTTTCTGTCCAGAGAACATGGCATGCGCCTTACTAAAATAGTGTTGGCCATCGAGTCGCTTTATCTGGGTTAATGGCACCACCGTTCATCTGGACTGCCTAGAGTGGTCTTCACTTTCTGGTTTTCAACTCAGACGTCATCCCCGGGCAGAATCAGTTACTCCTTACTTTGTGTTCCTCTGTCTTTCCTAAACACATACGGATGGTCACATATGATTTGTTTCCAGGAATTCATTTTATACATTATGAGTAATGGGTATTTTTAGTGTATTTTAATTGCTAATGTAATTCCTAAATTTGTCTCATATGTTGGAATGACACTTCCTCACTTGGTTATACACTAAAATCAGCTTAAAATTAAAATGTACTCAATAAATTCCATAAAGTCTACATGTTACGTTTTTGAATCTGAGAAGCTTAAAGGGGCTTGAATATGTGATTTTAAAGGTCAAAGTAAAAAAGTAGACATCTAATATTTTTAAATTGTGAAGATCTTAAGTAAGTGTAGCTTTAAGCTTTGGTAAAACACCATGAATGTTAGGAGTCCCAGATCTGGTGGCTTAAACTCACACTGGGAGTGTGTGTGTGTGTGTGTGTGCCCCAAAATCCTGAGAGGAACAATGGAGGAGAAGGGATTGTGGCATGGCCATCCCCCCTGGGGGGGTGATTTCTCACTTTCTACATCTCTGTCTTTCTGGTGAGCACATGTGCCCTAAAAATCTTTCCAAAAAAAAAAAAAAAAAGCCACTGTGAGTGGATTCTGGTTTTTATGCTAAGTGAATCCTCAACCAAAGGAATTTTATTATTACAAATAATGTCTTAATAATTATTAATTATTATTATTATTAATCATAATTTATCATTAAAATAATATAAAGATATATCATCTATAAACATAATCTTACCAGGGTAGAATAATAGTGAAGTTCTACAGTAAATTTTCTATTAAATTATAGAATTAGCTGAAATAATTTTTCTAAAAACTAAAAAAAAGTCTTGAATATTCAACTGTTTTTACTCTTTTTTTGGTGAGATTTTTGCTATAGGGTGCATGCGTTTGCCAGAAAGAGAGAGAGAAAGCGAGAAACTACCCCCCAGGAGGAATGACCATGCCGCAATTCTGTTTCCTCCATTCTCCTCTTGGGATCTTGGGCACATACACACATATACCTGGCATGAGTTTAAGCCACCGGGTCCGGGACTTGAACTGCAGTCGACTATATGGGAGTCCAGCGACATAGCTATTACGCTAACTGCTGGTCCCTGTTTTTACTTTTTAAGAGGTAGGAGAATTTATATTAATTCATAAGGAGCCAGCAAGTGGTATAGTGGTTAAGGTGTTGGACTCTCACATGGTTGATCTCAGTTTGAGTAGGCCTAGCAACTTAAAACTCATGCTGGGTGTATGTGCGTACATGCCCAAAATCCCAAGAGGAGAAGGGATTGTGACGTAGCTATTCTTCCCCCACACCTAGAAGGGGTGATTTCTCACTTTCTGTCTCTCATGAGAGCACACGCCCTGTAGCAAAAAAATCTCTCTCTTAAAAAAAAATGTATATTATATATTTATATATAAAACAGAAAATGTATATGACAAATATGCAATAAATAAATAATGAAGTAATGATTACAAAATATGATTCCTTTGTAAAGAACTTCTACTATGCACTAAAAAGTAGTTTTTTTAATCATAGCCTCAAACTGTGACTGTTAACATTCTGAAGCAACGCCATCATGTATTGTAAATCAACCAGTCATTTCTTTTTCTCTCTTCCTCTACCACTACCTTTCTCTCTCTACCTAAAAAAATGATGCCATAAAAATATAAAGGTGACAAAAGGGAGAGGAGCGGAGGGGGTAAAGGTTGTCAAATGCTATTGTGTCCACGCCACAAATTTCAGTAGCCAAAAGTAAAGGATATAGAAGTGGGTGAATTTTAGCTTAAATAATGACTTTATTATTATGTTTTTGAATGCAGCTAATTTTCTATATTCTCTATTTTGGACAGCCGGTAGAGAGTAAGTGGATATCTTCATCTTGTGATATCATTGCTTTTCGTAAGGCATTATTGAATCCAGTCACTGCAAGACAATTTCAACGTTTCGTGGCTCTGAAAGGAGATTTATTAGAAAATGGGGTGCTTTTTTGGCAAGAAGTACAAAAATACAAGGTACTGCATGGGAACTGGAGGAAATGTATTAGTATATTAAATTCTTAACTGAACTTTATGGACAAGATATGTATAAGATATCCCCAGTTTGCCATCTCCTTCATACCAGTATATAAGTAATGAAATGTTTACTGTCCAATGTCTAGATTCCTTTATTATTATACAGTGAAGAGGAAGAGTGAGCCCTGAAATGATACTGTTAGAATTTTTAAGTATTGATATGCATTATGTTCTAATGAAAACTTTTTGAAGAATGTTTTAAGTATATTTCTACCTTCCTTTTATCAACATGGATGCCATTCCCCCCCTCCCCCCGAGGATATCCATATTTGGTATATCATTACAGCTAAGACTCTTGTTTTTTTAAAAGAATAATTTATTTAATTTTATTTACTTACTTTCTAATTTGACCAGAAAAAGAAAGAGACAGATATAAAGTGAGAAAGCAAGCCGCCAAGTCCAGGACTCAAACCATGGTCGGCCATGTGGGAGTCCAGTGCCCCAAACACTATGCCACCTGCTGGCTCCCCGAGACTCTGTAAGAATCTTTCCAATTAGCCCACCCTGGTGGCACAGTTGGTAGCTAATTGAAGTGCAATGCTGAAAGCCACATGGCTGACCATGGGTTCATATATCTGGGCTGGCTCAAAGACACATGGGACGCGTGAGTGAGTACGCAAGATTCTGATGAGTTACAGGTCCAGAGAAGGGGGATTGGAGCCCGAAAAGACTATCAACAGTGCTTTTTTCCCCCTCTCTCGCTTTCCCTCTCTTTCTTTTAGATGAGCAGACAGGCTATTATGAATGAAATAAACATTTAAAAAAAGAATTCCTCTCAACCATATTTATAGCAGATACTGGATAAATAAACCAACAGAGATGAGAAAGGCTTTTCTATTTAAAGAACATCCAGATTCTTAGCAAAATAAACAAGCAAATGAACAAATGGTTAGGCACAAAGGCAGTTTATTCTCAGGTTTAAGTGTTTAATGGGGACACACCGAATCTGCACTGAAGAGGAGGAAAGATTTTCCATGTCACGTAGTCCAGAGTTGAATAAAGAAAAATGCTTCGCTTAAATAAGCTGAGGGATAGTAGGCTCGTTTATTTGCCAGCAGCCTATTCTATTCTATTTTAAAGATGGGAAATAAAAATAAAACTAGGATTTAAGAGTATAATACTTTCTGGGCCAGCAGGTAGAATAGCAATCCAGGTGGTCGACATGGTTGACCACAAGTTAGGGTCCTAAACCTGGCAGCTTAAAAATCACACCAGGCATGTGCGTGTGCATGCCCAACATTCCTAGCAGGAAAATGGAAGAGAAGGGATTGCGATGTGGCCATCTCCCAAGAGGATGATTTCTCACTGTCCCTCTCACTGTCTCTCTGGCTAGTTCAGCACCCTATGGCAAAAAGTGTAAAAAAAAAATTAAAGAAGAGTATAATACTTTCAACTGATCTATAAGTTCTTATTCTGTAACTCTAATATAGTTGCTCAATATATAGTTAGTAGCTGCTCAGTAAAATATATTTCTAAGCTTTTTCCAACACACCTTTTCTGTTATTAACTAACCTTTTCTGTTATTAACAGTTTTTGTATTACTCTCAGCTTAGGTTGTAACATAAACTTTTGGACAGGGTTTTTTTTTTTTTAATCTTTCATAGGGGTATTACTAATATATTACTTTTTGAGAATTAGAAAGGAGTTGGGGTTTGTTTTCCACAATAAGATGTTTTTATTATGGGTGGGCAAAACTATCTTAAAACTGAAATGTATATTAATAAGCTGACTTGGGACCAGCAGATGGTGAAATATATCGCTAGACTCTCACGTAGTTTACCGTGGTTCCAATCTCAGATCCGGTGGCTTAAAACTCACACCAGGTGTGTGTGCATGCATGCCCAAAAGCCCAAGGGGAGAATAGGAGAGAAGGGATTGTGGTGTGACCATCCGCCCTTGGAGGGGTGTGATTTCTCGCTTTCTATCTCTCTCTGTCTTTCAGGCAAGCTCATAGGCCCTATAGCAAAAAATCTCTCTAAAAAGAAAAAAATAGTAAGCCTAACTTTGCATGGACAAGAGGTAATGAGATAAACCTGGAAAAATAAATATTTTTAAAAATATAGACTCGGGTACAGTCGACCCTTAGTTTTGTGACTATTTTTATTTTAAGACTGTCCTTGGTTGTCATTTAAATATCTTTTCTGAAGTATAGCATGAAAGGTTTACAAAAACCACATAACTATTTAAAAATATCCTATATGAGTAAATTTCATTCATCTAACCACCTTTCAGTCAGTACCTAATGTGCCAGGAATTATGCTAGGTTGTAGAAATAAAATGATGAGGGACCAGCAGGTGGTATAATGGTTACATTGCTGGACTCCCACTTAGTCGTGGTTCGAGTCCTGGACCTGATGGCTAAAAACACTCTGGGAGCATGTACATGTATGTTCAAGATCCCAAGAGGAGAATGGAGGAAAAGGGATTGTGACATGGCCATCCTCCCAGGGGGTGATTTCTCACTTTCTATCTCTGTCTCTCCAGTGAGCGCCTGTGCCCTATAGCAAAAAATCTCTCTAAACAAACAAACAAAATAGCAAAATAGAAAGAAAAAGATGAATGCAACACATTGCCCTTTCTCGAGGTGGGGAGAGATATCTATGAAAAGAAATATGAAATAATATTACCGTGGTCTATGTTCTGACTAGGTGTAGCTTTAACTCGGTGGGGGGAGGGTCATAGTAGGAAGCAGTATGGAGATTGATGGGGATGGGGGATGGTATGTCAGGGAGATCTCAACAAAAATGGTGATATTTGAATTGGGTTTTGGGGGAGTTTTCCAGGTGGAAGGCATCCCACCTGGCAAAGTCTTGCCAAGCTAATTCTCACATGGCTTATTCTTATTAAGTGTTCTGTCTTCCAGATAATGTCTTAATGTTTCACATGGAATAATTAATTTTTTCCTCACAAGAATCCTATGTAGTCAAGGAGGTTATTCTCACCATTTTACAGATGAAGGAGTAAAGTTCAGAAAAGTTCAGAAACTCGCAACATCACACAGCTAATTAAGTGGTTGAGCTAGAATTTGAAACAAGTCATTCTCGTTAAAGCCCATGGTAGTCTACCTCCCAGTAATGATGGTGGTGATATGCAAAGAGATAACTAGAGTATTCTTAATCAAACGTTGCTCTGGATTGAAAACCTGGAAAGAACCCATTTGTACAGTAGGACATCAGTTACTTACGTATGACACATCTGTATAGCAGAGTACTCCACAGCCATTGAAGGTCATGTTGCAGGAGGCCTCACTGCGGTAGTGTGTGCTGGGGGACTCAGAGGCCAGACAGGCAGTCTAGATTTGATTCCCACATCTTAAAACTGGGAGGTTGATACAGAAGGATGGTGAGCCCTCAGCAGGCCTGAGTGACATAGGCAGACCCTATCTGAAAGAGCACACGCCTGTGGTCCCAGCTACCTGGGAGGCCGAGACCAGAGCATCACAATGCAAGGTCCTGTCTAAAACACCACACGTACATACACACATGTACACACACACGAAAAAATCATGTAGGAGAATAATCAATGATAGATGTTCATTTCCTTGGTTTTTAAAAATAGACTAGTCACTAAAAAGGAGTATGATTTAATCTAAACTCTGTGTGTGTGTGTGTGTGTGTGTGTGTGTGTGTGTGTGTGTGTATCCATGAAGAAAAGATTATAGGGATAGACTGGGCATCTTTCAAGGGCCAGGCCAAATCTTGAGGTTACAGCATGATCAAAGAGTCTTCCCATTTAGAGTTTACAGTGTCACCGGAGGGACGGATGGGTAGTAGATAAGGTGGTCACGAGTGTGATTAGAGGACCAGCTGAGGAAACACGGACTGCTTTGGAATTCCCACAGATAGACAACTGCGGGGACTGAGGAGTCTCAGAGAGCTTAGCAGAGGAAAATGTGCTTAAACTGACACCTTCGTAATAGGCAACGGCTAACGAGGCTAATGGCACAACAGGGCAGAATAGTTAGAAAAAATATGTCATGATCCGGTCTAAGTTCTGTCCCTTCAATCAAAATTAAACTGTGTAACTTCACAAATTTGTTTTTATTTCACAAGCTTGTATTCCACGGTTACAAACCAGGCTCACCAAATGATTCTATACGATAACCCCACTAGAAATAGAAAACAACAACAACAACAACAACAACAACAACAACAAAAAAAAACGCCCTTTTGGTAACACATGAAACATATGTGGTATAAATAGGCTTTTTCTGAGGTGATGCTGAATTGAGAAAGAAGTGCTAACTTGTCACAATGTAACATTCATATTAAGCTTTCTCCATACATAACCTAAGCCAAACTATACATAAAGTTTTTCATGACAGGCATTAGCATTTTTATTTCTTTAATAGTATCCATAACACAGCTATTACGATGCCCAGCATACAATGCGTACTTAATAAATGCTGGCTTGTTTCTAACCTACAATGAGAAGTTTTCAAGTTGTTTGCTTTCTAGTGATTTTGAAAACTATGTCTCTGACCAAAAAAAGATGCCTTAATTCAAGCAAAACTACTTTCTAATTAAAAAAAAAAAAAAATGACAACCCTACATTTGTGACTTTAAAACTGGATCATTTGAGGGGTCAGCAGGTGGCATGGTGGTTAAGGTGTTAGATTCCCACATGGCCAACTGCAGTTACAGTCTTAGATCTGGTGTCTTGAAAACCACACCAGGTGTGTGTGTGTGTGTGTGTGTGTGTACACACCCAAAAGGCGAAAAGAATGGAGGAAAAGGGATTGTAGTGTGGCCATCCCCCCGAAGGATGTTTTCTCACTTTCCGTCTTTCTCTCTCTCTCTCTCTCTCTCTCTCTCTCTCTCTCACGAGTGCATGTGCCCTGTGGTGAAAACCTAAAAACAAACAAAAAAGAACAAAAAAACCTGGATCATTTTAATGTAAACGTTATTGTTAAGTTCTTTATGTACAGAGAGTAACATGATGGAGCAACTGGAACAATGTAGATCCCGAAGGCACGTGATGACACATTTGCTCTCCACCAGCAAAGCCTACTTGTGGTGGCAGCCATTTTGAGCCTCCGTCACCTTGATATAAAAGCAGGTCTGGATGGGAAAGCTTCTGTGTTTACCCGTAGGCTGAGTTAGTACCTGTTCTCACTGTTCTCCTAGGACCTTGGAACTGTCCTGAACCGTAATATCATGTTTCATGCTTCCCAGGAGAGAGTAGGCTCCGGATCTGGAGGTGCTAGTTTCCCCGCCCCCGCAGGCACTCAATAGATACCTGTTAAACAGTCAAAGCAGGAGAGCCGTTCCTTTGCCCAGGGGAACAGGTGGTCAGGATGAAATTAAATGTGTATTTATGTAAGGTCTTCTGTATCAGTCGGAGGATCTTTTAAGATAACCTGGACCTGACGTTAAAAATGTATACATCGATTGAAACAGATATTGATACCGTTCTATAAAGGTGTTCTAATCACGCACTTATCACGTATTGTTCTCTCTCTCCTCTTTGTTCAGGACTTGTGCCATTCTCATTGTGATGAGTCCTTCATCCAGAAGAAAATCACGACTATTATCAACTGCTTTATTAACTCCAGTATTCCACCAGCTTTACAAATTGACATTCCAGTTGAGCAAGCCCAGAAGATTATTGAACACAGGAAGGAGCTGGGACCATATGTATTCAGAGAAGCACAGGTAAGAGACCAGGGCATGTGGATAAGCCTAATTTAAAATAGACAGACAATCTAAATCTTTTAAAGCTTTTGCATTGTTTATATTTGGCAAGGTTCCCATCCTCCCAAATCTGGGATTTATTCTATTTAATTTAAATACTCTTTTCATATGCCACTGAAATAATAAGAAAATAGCAGCTTGTGTGTTATTTTGTTGATTATAATATGCAGCAAATAAAATTAAACCATACACTTTGACTTTCCTGGTTACCATTTTTGTTTCTAATTCATAAAATCCCAGCTGATCTCTCCTTTCTTTCTCACCGTTCGTATTTCCTTTCAAAATATCTGCTTCCACAAAAATGTGTAAAATATGTGTCTCAAGATTTGTGTATTTTTTAAAGACTGGAATATTCACATAACTCATAAAATAAGTGAGAGGAGATTTGAGTACCCCACCAACAAAAAGCACACAAACTTGTGAAAGGAAACTCATGCCCGTTAACCCGCTCAAGTTACTTCTTTTTAAGATAAATAATAGAAAACAGTGACTTGGTGAACATAATTTATTTGCATTTTGAAAAGCCTTTTAGTGATGTTGTTCCTGAAAAATGATTAAGAAAAATAAATTATAATAGGAGTACTAGGGAAGGCCATGTCATGAATTAAGCGATATGAAACAGAGATTTGGAAAATGATTACCCTTGAGCATGGAAAAGAGCCATTATTCCATTTGTGAGCCAGCTGTGTTCTAAGTTCTAAGGAACTGAAAGTAGACTCATAATCCAAATTATACATTAAAATAGACAAAAATATAGAGTGATTGAGGATGTGTTAGAGGAAAACAGAGGAAACATAGTGTTAGAATTGTTGCATCTGTTAATGAAAAGATTTTAGAGATCCTAGCTTAGGTCTCCTTGGAACTGGGCTAGTCCTAACCCTCTGTATATGGAAGATCATGAATCTGACAGTAAAGAGCTTCAGTTGCTGATACTGGTTGGTTTGGGCACATTCCTCAGGGATTACAGCCAATTAACTTTGTTGGAGTCTTCTAGCCTATGTCTTAAACCTGATTTCCTAAAATAGAGTCCTAGATTATATCTTTTTTTCTTTTTTTGAAGAGATTTTTGCTATAGGGTATGTGCGCTCCCCAGAAAGACAGAGACAGAAAGCGAGAAATCACCACCCCCCCAGGGGGGGTAGATGGTCATGCTGAAGTCCCTTCCTCTCCATTCTCCTCTTGAGATCTTGGGCATGCACGAGCCTGGCGTGAGTTTAACCCACCGGGTCCAGTACTCGAACTGCGGTCGACTACATGGGAGTCCAGCGACATAGCCATTGTGCCAACTGCTGGTCCCCCTAGATTATATCTTAAATATGGACTTTAAAGGGCCAGTAGGTGGCATGGCAGTTAAGGCACTGAACTCCTGTATAACTGACCATAGTTAGAGTCTTGGACCTGGTGGCTTGAAAATCATGTGGGGTGCATGTGCGTAGGTGCCCAAAATCCTGAGAGGAGAATGGAGGAAATGGATTTTGAACTATCTGTAAATAAGAGAACCTTTATTTGGGAGCATCACCGCACAAATCTATTATTTTTGTGTTTCCTAAGGAAGCTCAGCGAATGGCACCCCTTCCTCCCCAGGTACTTAAACCACAGACCTGGTTGCCATCTTCCCGTCTTCCCTCAACTTCCTTCATCCCCTTGCACCATACCTCATCAATTCCTGAAATGTATTTGTCTCCTTGTCATCTGTCATCCTCTCCACTTTTCTCCAACTTCACTCTGCTACCTCCCTTCATATCTGTAGGATGTCTCTTGGTCAGTTACCAAACTCCCTGCCTCTGGACTCTCTCCAAACATTGAAGTCACTGCAGGCACTCTTTTTCAAAATGTTTATCTAATCATGTCTCTGCTTAAAATATATCACTTGCCCTCAGGATGAAGTTCGTGCTCTTTCATATTTCTCTAGCTATTGACTCATCTCCTAATCACTCCTACCTTCTCCGTCCTAGGCTTACTAAATTATTTGTCATTCCATAAATGACTCTTACAAGCTTTCCACCTGAGCTTTTCGCAGTATCATCCTCCCTTTCTTGTACAGGTTCGTGGAAAATGCATTTTATGAGAAACCTATGAATAGATTTCCAAAAAATGTTTTTGCATCAAAATAAACTCATTTTGTTTTTCAGTGAATTTTTTGAAGCCCTCCTATATTTGTCCCTGTCATAGCACTAATCAAAATAAATTGAAAGTAACCATTCTCGTGTATTTTTCATTAGATTTTATAGTTTTTGAGAGTATAGTATGTTTTTTATTTATCTTTGTGACCCAAGTGCCTGGCATAGAGTAGGCCATTTTTGAACATATGAATGAATGATGTGAGAAGAAATTTGTCATGACAGAAAAGAGTAAGATCAAATTGGAAATGAGAACAAAGTTGAACAAAAGAGCTGAAGGGTACATTAAAAACTGCTGACTGCTTTAGCTTGCTAAGTACAGCCTCTTCTTATCCCCCACCCACACTCCCAATAGCCTGGAAGTTTTAATTACTCAGGCAAATTTTCACTGCCACCCCCTTTGGTTTTTGCCATAGGGTGCATGCGGTAGCCATAAAGAGCAGGTGGAGAGGGGAAGTGAGAAAGCACCTCCTGGGGGGGATGACCACACCACAATCCTTTCTTCTCCATTCTCTTCCTGGGATTTTGGGCATGCAAGCACGTACACCCAGGGTGATTTTCAAGCTGCTGGGTCTGGGACTTGAGCCGTAGCCAACAGTGTGGAAGTTGAGCTCATTAACCACAACATCACCTGCTGGCTCTCACTGGCCCCTTTTTAGATGGTCATACTAAAACCATTCCTCATCTGCTGGTGGTGAGTAAAGTAGCTCTGTATTTATTAAAACTTTTTAAAATATACAATTTGGTTATCTGTTTAAGGTTCTGAAGGTACAAAGTACTTTTCAATAATGATAGCTTTTAACCTAAAAATGACAACTTTTAGAAATACAGCCACTTTATGCCTTCTAGTGAAAAACTGTGTACTAACTGGATGACTTTGATGGGAAAACATTCTAGATGGAAATACATTATGTTTGATAACTAGGCATGTCTCAGGTTTTGTAGAGAGAACTAAGAAGGGTAAATAGCTGGTAAATGCACAAGTTATTTAAGCTTAAGAAAGCCATAATAAAAGCAACAATGATCCCATAATATCAGTACAGAGGATTGCTTCATTGCAGGTCAGTGTAAATGTAATTAACCTAAAAGCCTACAGTTCATCAAATAAAGTATCTCTAGATTTTATATTAACATTCACAAGAGGCTATAGAATTTATTGGTAAAACCATGTTTTATAAGGAGTGAATATTTTTAGAATTACTAATAACATTCATGCGCATAAAAGAGGAATAATCAAATATGCCCAATTCAGGACTCTGTTGATCAGTGCATTTACTTTTTGAAAATTCCTCTTGGGACCAGCAGATGGCATAATGGTTGCATTGCTGGACTCTCATGTATCAACCACGGTTTAAGTCCCATACCTGGTGCTTAAAACTCACTCTGGGCTCATGGGTGTGCATGCCCACAATGCCAAGAGGAGAATGGTAGAGAAGGGATTGGTGCGTGACCATCTCCTCTGGGGGAGGGGGGGGTGATGATTTCTAGCTTTCTGTCTCTCTCTCTCTCTCTCTCAGGCAAGCACATATGCCCTGTAGTAGAAATCTCTCTCTCAAATAAAATAAAGAAAGAAAGAAAGAAAGAAAGAATTCCTCTTTTCTCTTAAGACTTGGCTTGGATCCTAATGGGATGGTACATTTTTCTCCAGGACATTAGGTAAAGGCCATTCCCAGCATTACGATGCTGGACTTGATCTGATGTGGCAAGTTGTACCTTCTTGGAAGTAATGTATGCTTCTGGAACTAATGGAAAAACTTGGCATGGGCATTAGAGCATCTCCTCTTATCTCTATAAATATCACAATTAATCACTTAATGCAAAGTGTCCTCATAGAAAGCATTTGTCCAGGATACCATTCTGTGTCTTAAATGTTACTTTTCTTGCTCTCACATAAAAGAGAGATTATATCATTTAAAAGTTACTCAAGATTTATTCTTAGATCTGCAGCTTTGTTTAAGAGCTTTTCCAGAGGCAAAATGGTATTTCCTTTCTCTAAAAGAAAGAAAAGGGGTGGGGGTCGTTTCCCTTGATGAACTGAATGTTTGGAATACTTGCATGAAACTGCAGAGTGTGTGGCAGATCAACTAGTATATGTTTTAAAAGAAAACATAAATTTCTTATTTAAAAAGACCTAATGGATTCTTTATTAATACAACCAATTGGTTAGGGAAACATAAAGAATAAAGTGACTTTTAAGTGTATTTAGTGTCTTTTTTAAAAAAAAGTAAGACTTCTCGTTGGTAATAAAAAACATTGATGATAAGCATGTGCTGAGCTGGACTGCACCAAAATGTCTGGAGACAATAAGTCGGAGGAAACATGGTCTATATTAAAGATAGAATAGTTAATCCATTATTATGGTGAATTAGAGTTTAAATCGGTACATTTGTTTAAAATTGTAATCTGAGACATACTTTGTTTTCTCTACAGATGACGATTTTTGGGGTTCTATTTAAATATTGGCCTCAGTTTTGCGAGTTTAGGAAGAACTTAACTGATGAAAAAATTATGAGTGTTTTAGAGAGACGACAAGAATATAATAAACAGAAAAAAAAATTGACAGTCGTTGAAGACGAAAAATTTGGAAAGGTGAGACAAGACTCATTTTGGGTTTAATCAGACTTTTATAAAGTATGTGGTGTGCATGCGTTCGTAGAAGACTTGGAGCTGAGGAAATATGCAGAGAAGTTATAGGATACAGATTTCAGTGTCCTTTCATCCCTAGTCAGAGGTTTCAGATTTGTTTTTCAATTCCTCGAAATTCAGCTCAAATGTCATCTCTTCTATGCGAAGACTTTCTGTATCCACTGCAGTGATGTTCCCCCTGTCGTAGAGCACATTTCATATTGTCCTGTGATTACATTTTTGCATGTCATCTTCATGGACCGAGATCCTCAAAGATAGTATCTGCCTTATTCATCCATGTTTTGTAAGCACTTCCACTAAGGTCTAGCAGGTGCTCAATTATTAATCATTGAATAAATGAATGAATGAATGAACAATTATTATGTCCTGGAGACAAGCAACATTTTCTGTTTCCTTTTTTTTTTTTTTTTTTGAGAGAGGTTTTGCTAGAGGGTGCACACACTCGCCAGAAAGAGAGAGACAGAGAGATTGAAAGTTAGAAATCACCCCCCAGGGGGATGGCCATGCCACAATCCCTTCTCCTCCATTCTCCTCTCAGGATCTTAGGCACGCACGCACACATGCCTGGCATGAGTTTAAGCCGCCAGGTCTGGGACTCGAACTGTGGTCAGCTACATGGGAGTACAGCGATATGGCCATTACGCCAACTGCTGGTCCCGACAAGCAACATTTGCAATATTAAAATCATAGAATGATACATTTGCTGTGAAATTCAAGTATGAGTCACAAATTGGCTAGCCTTTTTGTCTGTTAGTCTGTTCATTCATCCACCCACTCATCTCTTTCTCTCTCCTTATATTTATGTTTTTATTTTAATTGAGAATGGATAATTGCTTCCAAGTAATGCATTTTATCTAATTTATCAGCTTATGCCATTTTTATCTTTTGAAAGAAATGTAAAAGATGACAACTGACACAAAATAATACAATGAACACTCATATTTGCACAGTGTGTAAACACTATTAACATTTTGCCTCATTTGCTTTTTTCTTTCTTTAAGAAATAAAATATAGGGCCGGTCAGTGGAGTAGTACTTGAGCTGGGTGGATCCCCAATGGCTGACTGCATGGTTTGAGTCTTGGACCCAGTGGCTTGAGGAACATACTGGGCACATGAGCATGCATGCCAAAAATCCCAGGAGAATGAGATAGGATTACAATATGACCATTTCCCCCCCCACCAGGGGAGTGTTTTCTCACACCCCTCCCCCCCAATTCTGTGGCAAGCACACATGCTCTATAACTAACTTAAAAAGATGGGACTAGCAGATAGCATAACAGTTATGTTGCTAGACTCCGGTCCCACATAGTCAGCCACAGTTCAAGTCCTGGACTCGGTGGCTTGAAACTCACACTGGGCATATGTGCATGTGTCCCCATAATCCTGAGAGGAGAATGGAGGAGAAGAAATTATGGTGTGGCCATCCCCCCTGGGGATGATTTTTTGCTTCTGTCTCTCTGTCTTTCTCTGTCTCTCTGGCGAGCGCACACACCCTATAACAAAATCTCTCTAATAAAAGAAAAAAAGATAAAAATAAAATATTGCAGATATACCAAAATCTCTTAAACCTAGCCCTGAGTTCTATTACTCTCCCAGTACCTAAGAGCAGCCATTAAGTTTTGGATATGATATAGTCTTCCAGCTCTTTTTAAAGATAGTGTTTTTTAATATGTGTATGCATTCATAAGCCTTACAGAGCATTATTATTTTGTGTGTATTTGAACTTACATAAGTAGTACCATATTGTCTGCTTGGGTGCCATAACAAAATTAGGGACGTAGGGTGCTTAAACAGAAATGTATTCATGCACAGTTCTGGAGGCTGAAAAATCCCATATCAAGTACCAGCTGATTTGCTTCCTGGTGAGGACTCTCTTCCTGGCTTGAGACAGCTGTCTCTCACATAGTAAGGAGATTTCTCTTTCTTCTTATGAAGCCACAGTTCTATCAAATTCGGACCTCACTTTTATGACCTCTTTTAACCATAATTATTTCCTAAAGACCTTTTCTCTGTTTACAGTTACACTGGATATTAGGTTTTCAACTTACGAATTTGGATGGGGGTGGGAAGGTGCAGACATAATTGAGTCCCTAGAACTTACTGTGCAACATGTCTATCTTTTATTTTTTAGAGAGTTTTTCTTTTGTTTGTCTGTTGCTATAGGGCATGTGCAATCACCAGAGAGACAGCGAGAAATCACTCCCCGGGGAGAAGGACATGCCACAGACCCTTCTCCTCCAAGGGTCCTCTTGGGATTTTGGGCATGAGCTTGCACGTGCCTGGTGTGTTTTAAGCTGCAGAGTCTGGGACTTGAACTGTGGTCGACTCTGTGGTAGTCCAGTGACATAACCATTACACCATCTGCTGGTTCCTGTGCAACATGTCTTCTGTTTGTGTTTTGTTTTGTTTCTTGTTTTGTTTTGTTTTGTTTTTGTTTTGTTTTGCTTTGTTTTGTTTTGCCAGAGGGCATATGTGCTTGCCAGAGAGAGAGGGAAGAGAAACAACTCCTAGTCAGACATGGTCCTACCACAGTCCCTTCTCTATTTGTCCATTCTGTTGAGATCTTAGCCACACACACAATGTGTCTAGTGGGCCAAGATTAGAATCCTGTCCGCCGAGTGGGGTCTAACTTCCTTAAGCACTGGATCATAGACCTCATCTTGCTGTTTAAATTCAACTTTGTCTCTTTTAATTCTACCCACACTTCTATGTTTAGTACTAGTGTAGATCTAGTTTATTCAGTTTAACTACTGCATACTATTGATACATCATATGAATAAATACCCACTATTTTTCATTGTTGGATGTTCGTTTCTTTTTTTTTTTAGAGCAGCTTCACACATCTCTGAAAAGTCATTATATTTTTCTGTTTTCTATGCAAAAATGCATCATGACTTTTCTGACAACCCAATAGTTTCAAGTATTTTCTATTGGCTCAGATACATGGTTAAATATATTGTATGAAAGTTAAGACATACGATAGTAGAGAAAAATCTTAAATTGTTCCTTCTCCAGAAAACTTTGAATGTATGTGTATGTCATGCATATTGTACTTTGGTTACGGAAATGTCAAATTTCCGTAATTGATCTTTTTTATCTATCCATATTGTTAACTGGTAACCATTAACACAGTAGTTAGGTACAGATCTTGACCATAAAAAGCAACCTTTTGGTAGGGTAAATAATCCTAAAGGGGTAAAATAGGAATTCTATGCTTTAAATTATTTTATTACAGTAAACATATTGGTATTACCTAAACCTTCAGATTTTATACATTTATTTTATTTTCATATCATGTCTTTTTTTTTTTTTAATTCTATTTATTCCACAAGAGAGGGAGATGGGGAGGGGCATCCTCAATAGGAACGTCACACCACAACTTCACACCCCCATCTTCAGCCAGCCAAGATCACGGTCATGCACATATGTACCCAGCATGTACAGAGAGACCGCAGAACGCAAACCTCGGACCCTCCCTTATGGCTTCATCATTCAGAGTGTTGTGTTACTGCCGTGCCACCACAGCTGGCCACATATGTATTTTTTTAACATGGAAAATAGAAGGAAGACTGATATAGTAGCAGATATTTGTCCTAAAATGAACATAAGGAACCTGTGTGAGTTTTTTGGTAACATAAGAATATATGCTCTGAAAAAATGTTTACTGTGAAAATCATTGGACTTCCCTAGGTAATTTTGGGCATGGCTCTTAACTCTCTGAACCTCAATTCCTTGTAAACTAATGGAAATAATATTAATCTTACATGAATTGAAAGGGAATTAATTGACCTGATTGTATAAAAGACCTATGTGGGCTGGCCCCGTAGTGCAGCAGTTAAGATCTCGAATGACTGGTTGAATCCGGGCTCCAGTGCCTTAAAAAACAAACAGGCTCACATGGATGTATGCCCTGAACCCTGATGGGCTAGAGAAATGGAGAAAAAAGGATTTTGGCATGACCATGCTCCTACAGGGGGATACTTTCTCTGTCTTCTCTCTTTCTGTTTCTCTGTCTCCTCACTCTCGGGTGAGTATGTGCACACTCTGGCAATAAAAGCAAACAGAAAAGACCCATGTAAGCTGTTCCACTGTATAATCGAGATGTGTCATTTGATCCTAGATAGAGCAGCATAGTGGCTAGGGGTGCAAAATTAAAGATATGAAGACTGGCAAGGAAGAAAAATGTTAGCAATATCTAGTGTTGGTTGAGGATTTGAGAAAAAGCCATTAAAATAAATCCATTATTAGAGAAAGTATAAAATGGTACTTTTTTCTGAAGGGCAGTTTGACACCATCTATTAAATACTTAAAATGTTCATTGTTTTTAATCCAGCAAATGCACTTCTAGAAATATTCTAAAGCAGAGAATTAAAAAAATGCATAAGGGGATATATACACAGCATCATTTACTAGAGTAAAAAACTATTAAATTTCCATTAAGAGACATTGATTAAATTATCTATGGTACATCTCTTTAATATTATTCCCATGTTGAAAATGATGATATTATTTGTTGTGATAGTCAACAAATATTTGAGTGCATTAGATCAGTTATCCATTAAAAATGTCAATGTGATTTATTAATTTTATCATCTAATGAATATTGAGTATATGCTGTGTTGTATACAATGTTCTTTGATAAGATATATAATGATAAATAATACACAAGGCTCAGTTTACATTCTAGTACTATATTTATTTACATATAATATACTTTGTATGGAAAACACAGATTAAAAAAAACATATAGATTGTTTCTATTTGTATAATATTTATATAATAAAATAGAAATATTAAAATTATGAATTATAATGATAAGATTATCCATTTTCCCTGTTGAGAAATCTATACTGATGTTCATGAAAGTGTTTATTGTGGTTTTACAATGCTTGAATTCTTGGATGCTAGAATTTGGAGTGGTTTTGCATTCAGCGTCCATCACTTCTCTCATTCATTTTAAAATATTTTTATGTTAGTATGAAAGAAGATCAAAGTTCAGAACAATAGACTCTGTGGCATATGTGATATAGACTTGATAAAACCTAAGTGGGACTCACCACAAAACAGTTTTCATATTGCATTATAGCTCCTTAACTCTAATTTTGTATTAGCATGGCATTATTCCTTTTTTGAATAATTCCATTTAACTTACAGGATGGACTCAAACAATATATAAGTGCTACGGGGTCTGTTACCAAGACATCTGCCTTAGTCAGTGAATCCTTCGTAGGCCTGCAAGCGTACGGCCGACAGGTGAGCAGGCAAGACGGCACCGATCTCACTTCCTCTCTAGAGCACTGGCTAGCGGAACACAACAACTCATTCTCTGTACAGGACTATATGGAAGTGTGTTTGTTTGAAAATAAGGCTAGGAACAGCTAGTGGCATGGTGGCTAGGGCAGCTGGATTCCACATGGTTGACTACATGGTTTGAATTCTGGACCCAGCAGTTTGAAAAATATGCAGGGCACATGAGAATGCATGCTCAAAATCCTGAAAGGAGAAATGGAGAAAGTGTGAGTGAGCATCCCTCATAGGTGGTGCTTTCTCACTAACCTCTCTTTCTCTCTCCCAAGAGTACATGCATCCTCTAGCAAATTAAAAAAAAAAAAAAAAGACGACCGGGGCCAGCAGGTGGCATGGTGGTTAAAGGTGCTGCATTTCCACATGGCCAACCATGTTTTCAGTCCCAGACCTGGTGGTTTCCTTTCTCACTTTCTCTCTCTCTTTCTGTCTCTCTCTCTGGTCAAATTGGAAAATAATAATAGTAATAAATAAAGTGAAAATAAAGTAATTATTTTTTTAAAAAAGATGACAGTGAAGAAAAACAAAATAAAGTTAAAATGATAATACTACGAGAGATTGAAAAATACTTTTCTGAGCCTTCAGAGAACATTAACATTTTAGCCAATCCTGGACAATATAATCAAGGAAAATAACTTGTGATACACATGAAGAAGATTTAAGTTGCAGAAGACCATTTTTGGGGCCAGCAGGTGGTGTGGTGATTAAGGGTGCTGAATTTCCCACATGGCTGACTACGATTTGAGTTCTGGACCTGGCTCCTTGATTTCTCACTCTGCCCCCTCTCTGGTCAAATTTAAATAAATAAATAAATAAATAAATAAATAAATAAAGTTAAATAAAATAATTATTTTTTTTAAAAAAAGACCATTTTATTGGAAAAGAAACTAAGATAGATAAACTAGAACAAGACAGAATATAGAGAGATTGTTATATTCTTGGTTAAGAGATGACAAAAAAACAGTCAAATGTTTAACCTCATTTTTTTTTACATCTTTGAAGTGGTCATAAAGTTGGTCAGTTCATTTCCACTAACTATTATATTTATGATTTTTAAATTTTTACATTTACAATTAGCACATTAATATCACTTCCCTGAAATTTCATGAGTTTGTGCTCAATTGTGATGATTTGTATGGGAAGCATCCATATCTTAAGATAACACTAACTCAAAAAGTTATTTTTCTGGCTTTTAGAAATGTCAAATTAGTTCATCTACCCAGCTGGGATTCCTATTAGACTATGAAACTATTTTAAGGAAAAAGAAATCTGTGGAACTGTATACTAAAAGAGATATATCTGAAAGCATATGAAATCTAGTAATGCCATTTGAAAATACACTCATTAGCAAATGATTAGTGTTAAGTTTCAGAAACGTCCTGTGGACATTGTGGGATTAGAGATATCAGGCTCCTAAATTTTACTCAGCCACTTACAAATTGGTGTTTTTTATTATTATTATTTTTTGAGAGAGATTTTTGCTATAGGGTGTGTGCGCCCACCAGAGAGACAGAGAGAGAGACAGAAGCTGAGAACTCATCCCATGGGGGGATGGCTACACCACAATCTCTTCTCCATTCTCCCCTCAGGCTTTAGGCATGCATACCATGCACCTAATGTGAGTTTTAAGTCACCAGGTCTGGGACTTGAACCTCAGTCAATGACATGGAGTCTAGCAATGTAACTGTTATGCCATCTGATGGTCCTAAAATCAGTATTATTTTGAAGCCTGAAAAATGATCACATAATCTTATTTGAGCCAGATTTTTTTTTTTTTTTTTTTTTTTGCTGTAGTGCACATGTGCTTGATGGAGAAACAAAGACAGACAGAGAGAGAAAGTGATAAATCAGCCCCCAGGGGTCGGGGGTGGGGGGGGATGGCCATGGCCATACTGTAGTCCCTTTTCCTCCATTCTCCTCTCAGAATTTTAGGCATGCATGCGCATGCACCCAACATGAATTTGAAGTCGCTGGGACTCAAACTGTGGTCAGCCATTTGGGAGTCCAGCAAGTAACCATTATGCCATCTGCTAGTCCTGAGAGATTTTTGCTATAGGACATGTGCACTCACTGGAGAGACAAAGACGGACAGAGAAAGAAAGCAAGAAATCACCCGGGGGATGGACACACCACAATCCCTTCCCTGTTTTCTTTCCTCTTTGGAATTTGGGCACATATGCACATATGCTGGTGTGAGTTTTAAGCCACTAGGTCTGGGACTTGAACCACAGTCAACTACATGAGAGTCCAGCGACATAACCATTACACCATCTGCTGGTCCTTTGAGCCAGATTCTTTATCTGGTAAAAAGACAAAGAAGAGGCCAAGTGGCGTGGTGATTAAGGTGCTGGACTCCCGCATGGCTGACCCCAGTTTGAGTCTCAGACCTGAAGGCTTGAAAATCACTCTGGGCATGTGTGTGTTTGTGCCCAAAAATCCCAGGAGGGGAATAAAGGAGAAGGGATTGTGGCGTGGCCATTACCTCTGCAGGTGATTTCTCACTTTCTCTCTCATTGCCTCTTTCTCTCTCTCTCTCTCTCTCCAGAGAGTACATGTGGCCTATGGCAAAAACCTAAGAAAAAGGGAGAGAGAGAGAGAGAGAGAGAGATGTTTATGATAATATCTTGTCATATACCTCAAGATTTTTGTGACAATCTAAAAAGCTTTTGAAAACCAAAGGCTCTTTATAAATGTAAATAATAATATTATTTCTATCTAAAATTTCATGACGAATTACTCTAGCAATTTGTAAAATAACAATACTCTGCCATTTTGCAAATGTGAACGCCCATGTATGCACTGTTTCAGATAGATTTTGCACATTGAATAAATGTAATTAACCCACATGAAAAATTACCCTCTTTCCCAAAATTTGGCTCTTTCTAAAGTACCGAAATTCATGCTCAAATTGAATATATAAAAGTGACTGAGTATTTGTAGCTATGAAGTTTTTTGACATTGATTCACTGAACAATAGTATAGCGTCACCCTCTTGTCCTTAACTCTACCCTCTCCTTCAACCAGAAACTTTAAAAAAAAAATCATTATTTTATTTAACTTTATTCATTTTATTTTAATTTGACCAGAGAGGGGCAAAGTGAGAGAGAGAGGGAGGAGAGAGGGAAAGTGAGAAAGCAAGCCGCCAGGTCAGGAACTTGAACCGTGGTTGGCCATGTGGGAGTCCAACGCCCAGAAAAAATTTAAAAATTAGGTCAAGGTATGTAAAAAGTACTTTTACTTCATCATAAATTTTCTTATGAAAATAGAATTAAGAAGATTGACAATTTCCCAGGTGAGAGGCTGAGGCAGGAGGAGACCTGCGTAGTGAGATCCTGCATTAGAAAATAAGAAAAGAACGAGTTCAAATGAAGGAGTAGACATAAGCCATCTTACCTTCAGTTTATTTCCTAAGACAAAAGTTTCCAGCATTAACTTTGAAAATTGTTTTGCAGCCTACTTGGTGCTACTCAAAGTACATAGAAGCCTTAGAACAGGAGAGAATACTTCTTAAAATCCAAGAAGAACTGGAAAGAAAGCTATTTACAGGTAATCGGTCCTTTTTGCTGACAGGGTTGCTTGTTATCATCCAGCACAGGCTAATTTTAGGAATCTCGCCCAGGATCACCGCACCGTTTTTCTTATTTCTCTTGTTTTTGTGCAGGCACGGCATCTCTCACAAATTTTAAACCTACTTCCTCAGTTATGTCTTTGAAAAAGAATGTGTCTTCCAACCACAGCCAGAGTGAGTTTCCAGTGATCGTCTTCCTGCAGTTCTCCTCCCCTGGTGTTCGGGGTTCTGCTTCTTCCCTGGTCAGCTATCTAGAACGTAGAGGGATAAAGGGATGAGCTCTCACTGTCCCCCGTCTGCTCGGGCCCTCATGTTGGGAGAATGTCACTGTGTGTATGTCTGTGTGCCTGTGCGTGTCCATTCTGTTTCTCCCTGTGTGCATGGGCTTGCATGTGTCCATTCTAGATCTCTTTGTGTGTGTGTGTGTGTGTGTGTGTGTGTACATGCCAGTGTGTGTCCATCCTGTCTTTCTGTGTGTGTGTGTGTGTATGTGCACCTGCCTGTGTATGTCCTTTCTGTTTCTCTTTCTTTGTGTGTGTGTGCACATGCCAGTGTGTGTCCATTCTGTCTCTCCATGTGTGTGTGTACACATACCTATGTGTGTCCATTCTGGCTTTTTTTCTCTCTCCGTGTGTGTGTACACATGTGCCAGTGTGTGTCCATCCTGTCCTTCCCTGTGTATGTGTGTGTGTGCATGTGCCTTTGTGTGTCCTTTCTGTTTCTCTTTCTCTGTGTGTGTGCACATGCCAGTGCGTGTCCATTCTGTCTCTCCCTGTGCATGTGTGTGTGTACACGTACCTGTGTGTGTGTCCATTCTGGCTCTTTTTCTCTCTCCACATGTGTGTGTGCGCATGTGCCAGTGTGTGTCCATCCCGTCTTTCTTTGTGTGTGTGCACGTGCCAGTGTGTGTCCATCCTGTCCTTCCCTGCGTATGTGTGTGTGTGTGTGCACGTGCCTTTGTGTGTCCTTTCTGTTTCTCTTTCTCTGTGTGTGTGCACATGCCAGTGCGTGTCCATTCTGTCTCTCCCTGTGTGTGTGTGTTTGTGCACGTGCCAGTGTGTGTCCATCCTGTCTATCTCTCCCCGTGTGTGTGTGCATGTGCCTGTATGTCCAGTCTGTTTCTTTCTCCGTTTCCGCTCCTCTGCTGGATAGGAAGGACTAAGATTTACCTAAAATCTCGCTCCATTTCCAGAGTGACAGCACTCAACGTACTTATATCCTGCTGCTCAGTGAAAGGTAAGTTGTAGCCTGAGGGTTGATTGGCCCAGCTGTACCCATGTACACACACACTCATGCATGTGCACGTGCCTAAATCACACACATGCACACACAACTCTGCCTCCCTTTTGAACAGCAGAGTCTTCCTGAGAAATAAGGCCTCCAGAGAGTGATCCTTTAATGCTCCTGTGTTCTCCTGGTTTATTTTTCTCTTCCATGATGAATATATGTGGAAGAATACGGTCCGACTCAGTCTTTCCAAATTTTCATAAATTGGAAATACAAGCTGTTGCTGAAAATCAAACTTAGCCCTCCTCACATACAGATAGGATATAATTATACAGTTTTGATTAACAAAGTAGTTGAGTAGTGTAATGTAATGTACGTGTAGCCTGTTCACCATTCTTTTTTTTTTTTAGAGAGATTTTCACTGTAGGGCGCATGCACTCACCAGACAGAAAGACAGAGACATAGAGACAGAAAGCGAAAAATCACCCCCCAGGGGGGATGGTCACGCCGCAATCCCATCTCCTCCATTCTCCTCTCGGGATCTTGGGCACGCACGCACACGCACCCAGCGTGAGTTTTAAGCCACCGGGTCCGGGACGTGAACCGCGGTCGACTATGTGGGAGTCCAGCGACATAGCCATTACGCTAACTGCTGGTTCCCCCGTTCACCATTCTTAAAGAACCCAGTTGTTCATTGTCTTAATTTTTATTATTTTTTTAAAGAAAATCTTTTGTAGGGACCAGCAGTTGACATAATGGCTATATCACTGGACTCCCATGTAGTTGACCGCAGTTCAAGTCCTGGACCTAGTGGCTTAAACTCATGCTGGGCGCATGTGCATGCATACCCAAGCTCCCGAGAAGAGAATGAAGGAGAAGGGATTGTGGCGTGGCCACCCCCGCCCGGGGGGGTGATTTCTCACTTTCTGTCTCTCTGTCTCTCTCGTGTTTCTGACAAGTGCATGCACCCTATAGCAAAAAACTATATATATAAAAAAATCTCTTGTTAAGAATTATTTTAACTTTATTTATTTACTTATTTTAATTTGACCAGAGAGGAACAGAGATAGAGAAAGAAAGTGAGAAAGCAAGCTCCAAGTCCAGGACTTGAACCATGTGGTTGGCCATGTGGGAGTCCAGTGCCCTTAACCACCATGCCACCTGCCGGGTCCTTAATTTTTATTATTAGTATTATTTTTTTGGTTTCTCAAAATCCTTAGTTTTCTAGTCTTTTTTAAACACATACACACATATACACACATATATATATATATACACACACACATATGGCATGCTGACACATTTGTTCCCTTTCTTGATCCTTCTGACAACTCTGTGTAGGTTTTTATGTTATTTTGTATTTATATCTTCTATGAATGTTTATGCTTTCATCCACTTGTTTTTCTTTTGCAGGAATTCTTTAAACCCAATTTAACTGACATGAGAAGCTCGAGTGATTTAATGGATACATTACAGCAAGCCTAGCATCTAAATAAAATTCGGCTTGTTTTACTCCCACAGTTTTAAAATTATAGCCATTCTGTACACATGACATACAAGACTAAATTTTTTTTAAAAAAACTTAGAGTAAAATGATTACTATTTGGTTAGAAGCATTAAAATGTTTTGCTTAGCACAGTCCTTCAGGAAGTATAATGTTATGTTCATCAAGTAAATCTTCCAACAAGTATTGCTTGAGCATTACTACAGTTGGCTAGCAAATATATTGATTGAGCAGGTGATTTGGGGATGAATAGTATTAACAATAACTTAACCCAAAATATAGAGGCAAGTGCTTTCTTCTCCGCATTCCCAACTCTGGGATAATTATATATTAAAGCAGTGGTCCTCACACTTTTGTGGGCTTAAAACACAGTTGTGGCATTTCCTATCACTGCAGTTTCCTGGGCCGCTCCTGAGAGTTTGATCAGTACTTTGCTTCTGTAGCCCTCTTGGGCAGGACTGAAGAAATCTCCTTTAACACCACTGGTGATTCTGATGCAGGCACTCCACATAATACTCTTTGAGATAAGCTGTTACAGTAGCAAAAAAAAAAAAAAAAGAAAAAGAAAAAGAAAAAAAGAAAGAAAGAACAAAAGAAAGAAAAAGAGCTCCCAAAGGTAAAGTGGGCCTCTCTGTGGCAAAGGGAACCCAGCCCATACACCCTCCTGATCTTGGGCCTGCAGGGAAAGGATGTCTAAGAACAGACCCAGAGGATTACCTATGGGCCTGGGAGCTCCAAGAACTCTGACCCAGATTACCAGGTTGGAAGCACTGGACTTCCAGTTCTGTACAACCCCAGAAAGTATTCTCCAAGTGGAAACAGTCATTTCAAACTCTCTAAAGAGCTAGATGTTATAAATGAGGAAAAAGTATCAGGAGACATACTTGAGAAGTCATCTTTTTTTCTAAAGCAGTTTCTTGGACTTTTTTTTTTTTTTTTTTTTAATTATTCAACCTGAAAGGACCCCATGCTCACAGTGTCTCACACCCTAAGGAGGTCATGAAGTTTATAACTGCTTTCCAATCATTCTCTTGTTCATTCTTCCTTCCTTCTTTTGCCTCCCACTCTCTTGCTTGTTCTGCCTCTCTCTCTTTCTCTCTCTCTCTTTCTCTCTCTCTCTCTCTCATTCTCTTTAAGTATTCTATAGCACACATATACTCTCTGGAAAGAGAGAGAGAGAAAGTGAGAACTAATCCCCTGGGGCATGGCTAAATTGCAATCCCATCTCCTCCATTCTGCTCCCAGGATTCTGGGCGCGCATGTGCGCGCGCACACACACACACACACACACACACACACACACACACGCCCAGTGTGTTTATCAAGACTCTACAATATTCTTAAGATACTTACACTAAAACACACGCACACACACACACACACACACACACACACACACAGTGTGTTTATCAAGACTCCGAGTCTGGGACATGAACTATACAGTCAGCCCTGGGGGATCTAGGTGCCTCAACTACCACTCCACCGGCTGCCATGCTTCCCACATTTTAATTGAGCATTCTATGTAGTTCTATTTTCTCTCCTTTCAGCATATCAGTTTTATTTCTTTAAAAAAGTTTCTCACTGGTTGCCATAGAGTTTTCAGTTTACATTTACAATAATGAACGTCTGCTTTCAAATACCATTTTAATGCTTCATGGGTAGTGAAAGTACACAATTTCCCCTTCCTGTCCCTGTCACATTGCTGTCATTCATTTTGCTTATCCATAGGCCAGCACCGAGTATATTATTATTTTGAACCAACTATTACCTGTTAGTGTAATAACAAAAAATAAAATATATTGCTTTACCTTAATTTGTTCCTTCCAGTTCTCTTCCTATCTTTATTTAGATTTGAGTTTCTGACCTATAACTTTCTTTTGGAAGAACTTCTTTTAACATTTCTTGCAAAAATAGGAATACTGGAGATGAATTCCTTCAGTTTTTGTTTGCCTTATAGAGTCTTCATGTCTCCTTCAGTTTTGAACAATAACTTCAAGGACTATAGAATTCTGCGTTTTGAATGCTTAAAGCATTTCACTTTAAGTTGTTCTATCCCTTCTCCCTTGGTTCTTTCAAGATTTTAATTTTTTTTTTTTTGAGAGGTTTTTGCTATAGGGCGCGTGCGCACGCCAGACAGACAGAGACAGAGAGACAGAAAGCGAGAAATCACCCCCCAGGGGGGATGGCCACGCCGCAATCCCTTCTCCTCCAGTCTCCTCTCGGGATCTTGGGCACGCACTCACATGTGCCCGGCGTGAGTTTTAAGCCACCGGGTCTGGGACGTGAACCGCGGTCGACTACGTGGGAGTCCAGCGACATAGCCATTACGCTAACTGCTGGTCCCTCAAGATTTTAATTTTGTCCTTGATTTCCTATAGTTTGAATATGCTATGCCTGGTGTCAGTTTTTTTAATTGCCTGAGGGTGTATGCACTCACCAGAGATAGAGAGAAGCAGAGAGAGAGGGAGAGGAGAAAGCATTCCCCACAGTCACATCGCAATTTCTTCTCCATTTCTGCATCCTCGTGGGATTTGGGGCACATACGCACACGTGTCTGGTGCGTTTTCCAAGCTGCCAGGTCTGGTATTTGAACTGTGTCTGGTCAGTGTAAGATCTGGCTCCCTTAATTGCTAGGCTATGGGGCTATCCCACCTAGGTGTAAGTATTGTGGATTTATCTTGTTTGGTGTACTCCCAACTTCCTGGATCTGTGGAATGGTGTCTAGCACTAATTTGGAAAATGTATTACTTAAATAATAAATTATTACTTCAATTACTTCTTCCTTTCCTTTTCTTTTGTCTTTGTCTCATGGTTCTTGGAGATTCTGTTGTGTCCTTTTTCTATTCTTGTTTTTCATTTTTCATTTCAATTTGTTCAAGCTTACCGATTTTTTTCCTCAGCTGTGAGTCTGTTGGTGAGCCCTCAAAGGCATTCTTCATTTCTGTTACAGTGTTTGTGCATTCTAGAGTATCCATTTGATTCTTGTAATTTCCATCTTTGTGCTTATATTAACCACATGTTTTTGCATCCTGTCCATTTTTAAAATTAGAGTTCTTAGCATATTAATCATAGTCACTTTAAGTTTCTTGCCTGACCATCCTAAGTCTGGTACTGATGTTCGTTCTGTCTGTTTAGACTGTGTGTTCTGCCTTCTGCTTTCTGATGTTTGACTGAAAACAAGGCATGAAGTGTCACATAGAAGGAACTGAGGTAGATACACTATTAGTATGATGTTTTATGTTTATCTGACTAGGAGTCAGGTTGTATTTACCCTTCACTGTAGCTATGGTATTAGGGGCTAAAATTCCCTCTAGGCCCTTGTTGTCTTTCCTGTTGTTTGTTTGTTTATTTTTTTAAAGACTCTAATAGTGCTTGAGGTTTGAGGTTTCTTTAGCTGTAATTCCTATCATTATATATAAACTCTGTTGACGTGGTGGTGGAGGATGGGAGAAGAAGCATTTTATTGTCCCATGATTACATCTCAGTATTTTAGCCTGAATTGGGTATTTCCCTCCCCAGGTTATTTGGGCTTTGGCATAACCCTCTTCTGTTAGGCTCTGTTAAAATGGTTTCCTGTGAGGGCAGGCCCTTGTTAAGAGAACAGAGAAATCTGGGAGTATTTCAGATTGGTTATATTACCCACCCCAGGCCAGAAGCAGGGGGATTTTTCCTGGTCTTCACAGAAGTGTGATGTGGGACATTTGGAGTTAAAACTCAGTATGTGAAGGCTGGATCTTTTCAGAGTTTTCACCTTTCAAGCCAGACTCCACCAAAGTTTCCAGGAACTCCACAGTTTAAGTTTCCTATAGGTGTGGGCTCCAGCTGCAGGCTTCTGCTCCTGGCGGGCTGTGATTCTCCAGATGGGCCTGTATGTCTCTTCAGTTTAGGGGCAGCACTTTATCCTGCTACCACAAGTCTTTGATAGGTCCAAGAAGAACTGTTGAATTTCACTTTGATCACCTTTTTTATAATTGTGAGGCTGGTAATGATGACTTCCAAATGTTAAGAATCATCAGAGGGGGACCAGCAATTAGCGTAATGGCTATGTCACTGGACTCCCATGTAGTCAACCGTGGTTCGAACCCAGTGGCTTAAAACTCATGCTGGGCGCATGTGTGTGTGTGCCCAGGATCCTGGGAAGAGAATGGAGGAGAAAGGATTGTGGTGTGGCCACTCCCCCTGGGGGGTGATTTGTCACTTTCTGTCTCTCTGTCTCTGTCTGTCTGGTGAGCACACGCGCCAAAGGAAAAAACTCTTTAAAAAAAAAAAAAAAAGAACCATCATCTGGCATAATGGTTATGTTGCTGGACTCCCATGTAGTCAGCCGGGGTTGAGTTCTGTACCTGTGACTTAAAACTCACACTGGGCATGTACCCAAGATCCTGAGAGGAGAATGGAGGAGAAGGGACTGCAGTGTGCCTATCCCCCCTGGGGGGAGTAATTTCTTGCTTTCTGTCTCTATCTCTGTTTCTCCAGCAAGCACATGCATTCTATAGCAAAAATCTCTCAAACCATCGCCCCCCCAAACAAACAAAAAACCATTAGAACCAGGCCAATGTTGGAAATACTTCCCAGGAAAACTTATATAAGGAAATTACCTCTAGTAGCAAAAATTGGAATAAGCCTGTTAGAGTGAGCTAAATTGGTCCAAGTATGCCTCCATACTTGGGTAATAAAGATGAGGTCTGGGGGACCAGTAGTTAGTGTAATGGCTATGTCGCTGGACTCCCATGTAGTCGACCGCGGTTGGAGTTCCGGACTCGGTGGCTTAAAACTCATGCCGGGCACGTGTGCATGCGTGCCCAAGATCCTGAGAGGAGAATGGAGGAGAAGGGATTGTGGCGTGGCCATCCCCTCTGGGTGGTTATTTCTCGCTTTCTGTCTCTCTGTCTCTCTCTGTCTGGCAAACGCACGTGCCCTATGGCAAAAACCTCTCAAAAAAGAATAAATAAATAAATAAAAAGATGAGGTCTGAAGTAGTCTCCATAGATGCTATACTGCAGCCTACTTTG